TGTCAAAATTTACGTTGAAATGTATGCTATTCTAACGGAAAAACTAGAAAAAGATAGACGTTTTGGTGCAAGTTAGATTACTTTTATTTCCTAATGTAGACGTCTACATTAGGTAATTTTACTTTAGTGTAATTTCCTTTTGTAACAGTCTACATTTGGTAATTTTATTAAATTTAAAGTTTTTTTGCACGTAAACAAAATTATTGTTAAATTTAAAAAGTATAAATGGAATGGTATTTTTGTTTTCTTTATTAGACCAAAATTATTATTCCAAAATGTCTTTATATAAATTACAAAACAAAACCTTTGATATCAATGCAAAACATAGATATTTGAATTTCACAGCTTATTATTTTGATAGGAAACAGTTTAATTCTTTGGTAGAAAAATATTTTAAAAGTGATAAAAATCCTTTTCGTTACATCAAATATCAATATGAGAGAAACTACAATCCCCATCAAGATCAGTTGGACATTCACATCCAAGGACTTTTAATTCTCAAAGATGCAACAAGAATTGGAAATTATTTAAAAGCTGGTGAAAAAAATAGAAAAAAAGATAGCATTTCGGGTGTAAAAGGTCTTTTAGAAATGAATAAAACTCATTTTGAAGGCATTGCAAGTATTGAGGATTCTGTTCTTTATACTGGAAAAGACTACAACAAATGTTCATTGCATCACAAAAAACCCATTAATCCAAATGATCCAAAAAGCAAAATTATTGTAGATTTTCATTTCTCTTTTGCATACGTTTTTTATTTTGTAAGATAATTTTTAAACATTAATTCAAGCACTTTGTCAAAATAAAATCGATTTTACTTCAATAATAAAGTTTGTTCAGATAGGATTCAATGATTAGAATCTCAATTTTCACGTAATTTGAGTAAATATTTCTTGAGAAAAACATATTTTTGTACTTGTAATTATAAAAAATTACTGCGCCTAACTGTACCAAAAATTGGCTGCTGGGAATTTAGTATACCAAATGAAAATTGGAAAATACATGTTTTTCTGAGTTTTTTCATCCTTTTTTGTTTAAAAAAATGGTTATTTTGCCGATCTGTAAAAAATTTACTAATTAACTTTTGGTCAAAACCCAAAAATCATACAAATTTTTGCAAATCCTTCAGCTGGACCGGTCCGGCTGGTAATTTCTTAAAATAGGGATATGTAGATCCTTACTGTGCCAGAGTTATACGTAGAGATTTGATTTTTTATTTTAATACTGTTATTATATATTTGGAACACTGTTTTAGAGAGGGTAATACTAAAAAAACAGGGTTTTTTAAAAGCAAAGGCATCATTTTTGTTGATGCACACCATAGCCATAATCGTGATTATGTAATTAAAGCATTGAATTCAGAAGGCTTAGATGTGTTAGAAATCCCTGGTGGAACCACCAGTGTTTTGCAGCCACCAGACGTTTCTGTGAATAAGCCATTTAAAAATGGAATGAGAAAAAGGTGGGAAGAATGGATGGATAAAGGAAAAAAAAGTTATACTAAAAAAGGGAACCAAAAAAAAGCGCTGTATGAACTTGTCTGCGAATAGGTATCTGAAACGTGGAGGGAAATCAGCCCAAATATTTTAGTCAAATATTTCGAAGCAACTGGACTAACACTTAACCCCGATGGCAGTGAAAATGATAAAATGTCACACCGCCTCCAAACTATTGTTGAAAATCGCCTGGATGAATTACCCATCGAAGACACGCATTCAGAAGAGCCAAATTATAATAATGGTGAGCCGAATGATAATGAATTAGATGATGGTGAGCCGGATGATGATGAATTGGATGATGGTGAGCCGGATGGTGATGAGTTGGATGGTGATGAGTTGGATAATGGTGAGCTGGATGATGAATTGGACGATTATGAGCCGAATGATGAAATTGATGATGAACTAGAAGACTTCGAGCCAGATTATTATGATGAAAATATTATTGATGTAGATAGCTGTGAAGAAATGCAAAATAATAAAGTAATGGAAATTGATTAATGATAGTAATTAATAATAAACAAATGAACGAATCTCTAGAGTGAAATTCACACTTATATTTATTCTCTGTTTAAATATTTTAAAAATAATTTTAATGGTTTTTTTTGATGACATATAATATCGTTAGCCACTTTTCTAGATTTTAACAACCCTAAATAATTCGTCGAGGTAAGGCAATTAATTTTTTTTTCGCGATTGACTTTTTAACTAATAGAGTAACTACTTTACTTATAATAAAAATTAGGTGTTTCTGTGATAGCCTATTATCTTAAATCCAGTTATCATATATAATATATTACAAAATAATAAGATTACATAGAGTATAGAGTATATTAGATTATGGAATAACTTAGTGTTGTTGTGTTATAATAACGATATAAACAATCATTTCGCTATGGTGATTGTGATCTCGTAAGCCATAGTATACTGCTGATTGAATATTGATTAAAACTTAAGGTAAATTTTTTTTTTTAATTATAAAATTCTTATAATAAATTTAATTAACAATACCGTAATCACTTGATTTTAACTGATTAGTATGAACCGAATGTCTAAAAAGTCTAGCCTCTATTCGTTAATGCATTGTAATTACTATTATATCAATAATGTTGCAATTCAAAATCTGATACATTTCTTTTTTGGTGGTATTGAGTATGTTATTTAAATTTTTTAAATATGAAATTTTTATATTAATCACCTAAAGCCATTTATAGATGATTTTGTGATGTTAATTTAACAGCAACTTTCAGTAATCCGTGGATTTCAGATATTGCAATATATTATAGTCAGCTTACTGAGTATAATGCAATATTAGCGGGTCTTTAGGTTATTAATATACAAAAATTTATAGGTATTATGAGAAAATGCGAAAAACCACTTGCAAACTTTGGTAAATCGATTTGAGCAATGCTATGTAGGAACAGGCATGTTATTACTTCTAAATTTAATGTTCTAATAAATATAACTTTAATTTATTTACTTTGGAGTTTTTGAATTTATTTAGTAGTAAAAATACTTCGGAGTTGAAAATGATGAAAATAAAATATTTGGAACATGAGCATCGTGGAATTGAAGTCAAATCAGATATTGATTAATTTTTTAAAATAAAAGTGTTAGTGGAATTAAAGTTGAAAAAAATAAAAATATACGGTAAAGTATCCATTATTCAAATTTGTAAAAGAATACTAGTGGAACTAATAATAATATTAATTTTCTAGTACTGATAATTTTATGCGAAATTGAAGCTGAAAGAATAATGCAATGTTAGTAAAATCGGGATCAAAAAAAGGATGAATGTTAGGTAAGGTATTAACAATGGTATCAGCTTAAAAGAAAATGTTACTGAAAGAAGTTAAAAAGGTATTCCAAATAGGAAATCCTAATTGAATCGGAGTTAAAAAAGACGAAAAAAATCATTTATTAATTTATTGAAATGAGAAAGTAGAATCGAAACGATGTGTATTATTCTGTTTAAATGAAAAATGATCGAATTAAAGTTTAATATTAATGTAAAGCTTTTATTATTAGAATCCGGCAAAACAAAAAAATTGTAGAAATAAATAAAACATTTAAATAGAAAATGCAACTATTGTTTTATAATAATAAATATACAATAAAGATGTTAGTTTGAAGTGATTATACGTTAATTTTAACGTTAATGTTTTTAATACTGGCTATTTTTTGTTAGTGAAACGTTACATTAAGTTACCCGGGCAATTGATTTACATCACCAATTAGACGAATGTCCGACTATGAGAATATTTGATAGTTACCTTATATGGGTGCGCGTTATTTCGGACGCGCATGAGCGTTATTTTGAGACCATATTTGCTATTTTTAGGGAGTACGATTTTCGAATTAACGCTCATGAGCGTTATTCCGCGAAAATACGGTAATTATTCGTAATAACTCGGGCTCGATTTGACAGTAACTATTGGGATAGGAACCTAAAAAAATAACACTCAAATATCAATAAACAATGACTCCCATATAACATAGGCAATTAGAAAGAAATTCACAAATATTGAGAGTTTACTATATTAGGTGAAGTTTATTATGATATTGTTTGAACTTTATATATAGATGGATCCAGGTTTAATCACAAGATTCAAATTTAATTATAAGATCTAGATTTATTAATAAATTCAAATCTAATAATTAAATCTAAATACAAATGATTAAATCCGGATCTAACTCTATTATAATCTATATATGTTATAACTGTATAAACTTACTTAAAACACTATTCATTCTTTCATATGAATAGCACCAGAAAGAGTATACTGGGCTATAATCCTTGGAACATTCTACTATATGAAGAGATAAATGAATATTCGGCATAATTGCCTCTGACCATAATTTTTTTTTCAATCAGGCGAGCAACTTGTAGCAATCGAGCTTGTGCTTCATCCAATATATTTTTATCAATAATGCATGCTACCAATAAGAAGCATGCACTTACAAAATTAGCTAAAATTTTTTTGTTTTCAATATCCAAAAGGTCCCACATTAACGGAATTGCATATATCATGATAAAGGATTTCCATTGGTTGGCAGTAAAATTGGGAAATCCTTTACCTATCGCTATTCTGAATGAGATTCTTCCAATATCAGTTGGCACTTTAATGTTTTTCGCTCGTTTTTCCATCAATTCGAGACTAGACTTTGAAATTTTTCTACCTTCAATCCATAGTCTCTTCACAATCCAACATGCCACACCCAAAAACAAACAATGCATTGGGTCAATTATTAAGTGCGTGATTGGGTTGTGGTATGGTAGGTCTTCTGTCAATTGTTTTTTCCAAATGAGGGCATTTCGACGGTGCTCTATTGGATCTTTTGTCTTAAACCACCTATCTATATTATCGAAGCCTCCAAAATTTAGTTTTTCACCTTCACCACTTGCTCTTTTGTAACATCTATGGCACCCAACCAATGCTAATATATAGCTGCATAGCTTTCTTGCAGCCGGAATATTATTGTTTTTGCAAAAAATATCAAGTATTAATAAAAAAAAAATTATTATTAGTATTTAGTTTATACAACAATTTTTTAGAACACAGGTTGTTCTAGCTCTTTTAAATTTTAAATAATTACAATATTAATACAGAACTTATTATGTGTGAAATTTTTTTAATTAAAATCATATTAATTTATATTAAAAAAATTAGTTTTTTAAAATTTATTATACTGTCGAACCTCTCAAATCAATCTTGTCAAGTTAATAAACTTAATGCTAATAAAAAGTAATATAAGCCTGTTTTTTACTATATAAATCAAACAATTTGAAATTCGATAATACAAATTTTGTTTGCTATAAATATTGGTTTTTGAGAGGTTTAACAGTATCTATTAAAAATAAGATAATAAAATTTTTTAATTACCTGCAACAAATTACGGCCATTCGGATCTTCCTTCCAGAAGGATAGTTGTGAGTTGTTGATAAATCAACTCCTCTCCAGAATTCTAACAAGCTATCTACTAATGGGGTAAGATAATTATTAATCTGATGTAACTTAACTTCTTTTGGTCCTGGTAAAAGAGCTAAAATCAATATATTTTCTTTTTTAAATCAGATCTCCTGTGGTAGATTACAAATCACACCATATATTGCCCTACTACTATAAGAAGCTGAGTCAAAAGGCTGGAACCAGTCTATATTAATCATTATGCCCAGATGTAAATCGGCAGTTTCAGGTGTAAAAAATCTTGATTGTTTCAAATTGTTATCAGATAGAAAGGTTTTCCAAATTTCACCATCGTATATATCAGACATTAAGTAAGACTCACTGTCCCGATTAGTCCACTTATACAAAAGTTCTTTGAACCCTGGCCTTTGATACATTATAGATATTTGTGTCTTCAAATATGATAATAGGTATACTATTTTAGGACGCCAAATATACCCATTACTTACTGGTACTTTAACTAACAATTCAGACCCACAGGGTACACATTTAGACCATAATGGATGATTAGGAAATTCAGTGTGTATGCATTTAAACCCTGGATTATTATCATCTACATTTTTTGAAATTATAGTATCAATATTATACAACTTATTGCAGTTAGAGCAAGCTGCGAATTTTTTTAGTTTTTTTTTTAATTTTTAATAATTTTCTAGCTTTATTGGCACTTAAAGGAAAGTTTTCAAATCTTTTTCTATCCAAGTATGACAAAAGAGGTTTTAAGAAGAATATTAATGAGTTACTTCCAACTTTTGAAAGCCAAAATCTTTCTTGATACTTGAAAACCCAAATTAAAATCTAGCTATGATCTGGCTTATTAGAGTCACAATTATCATTATTTAAACTAAGCTTATTATCAAATTGTTCATAATCTTTTTTATCTGACAAATCGTCAGATGAATCATCAGATAAATCATCAGATAAATAAGTTTGCTGTTCAGACTCTTGGTCTAAAATTATAACAATATTATTAGCTTTATTAAATCGAATATATATTATTTTAATGGCATTAGACTTCTAGCAAGAAAACTCAATTGGGTAAAATTCACTATCCAAATTTTTTTCAGATTACATGATATGATTGCTTAAAGCGAAGCGTAGTGAAGATGCTAATTTAATTATTCATATATATTTCGAATAAATAATTTCATATGATCTGAAAAAAATTTGGGTGGTGAATTTTACCCAATTGAAAATTCTTAATTAGTTTACCGTTATCTATTATTGAATCATCTTTATAGGTATTAACTGAAACAATTAGACCGATTTTTTAAATAAAAGATACAAATTAGTATTTAATTATTTTTTTTACCTTTTTCTTCTAGTAATTTGAAGACTAAATCTTGATACTGTTTCTCTATTGCTTCATGTACTATCCTGGTTCTTGTAATTATCCGGAAACGGATATCCGTTATCCGTTATCCGAGTATCTGATCTAAAATTTGATAATTACCCGGATAAATGCTAGCCGGATTGGAACTCTAGTTAGTGCAACTTGTACTGGACCGCAGTCCGGTCCAATTTTTTAAGAGACTGCCAGTTCTTGGACCGAACGGACCGATTAACATCCTTAGACCGGATTATTCACAAACTGGGATTTTATAATGACTATGAATATGAAACCAATAAGTCATATTTAGAGGTCTGATCCGATAAATAGTATATTCGAATATTCAATGAATATTCGAATATCCGAATATATAATTGTTTCACTGAATTGAATATTCGAATATAAAAATTTTTTTCACCAAATAATTCATTGAATATTCAATGAATGTATACTATCTAATCGGCCAATTAAATGCAAGGTTGGGTGTTATATGTCATGCTCAATCTTATATACTGATTGGTTAGCAATGCTAATAATCATGAGCCTAAGTAGATGAGCAAGATAAATCCCTATTAGCTAGAAGATTCTCTATTGATTTATTTATTTTAATGTAGCTTTTAAGTATAAAATTCATTTGTTGGCTTGTGTATTTAAATTCTCAATTATTCAACTTCATAATATTGTCTTAATTCATTATTGTCAATATTCAATGAATATTCAGTGAATATTCGAATTTTTATTTGAAATTTGCTAATGAATATTCGGATATTAAAAAGATTGAACGAATGAATATTCGAATACTTATTTTTCGACCGGATCAGACCTCTAGTCATATTGATCCTATAATTAACGTTCATATTATTTAATTATTTAATTTATTTTAAATGATTTAAATTAAATTGTATTTCTCGATAAAATATCTGGAACATTACATATAATGCACAGCATGAAATAATTGTCGAATATTTAAATTTCACTAATACTAGTAATTATATATGAAACATGATCTAAAGCAAGCATGTGCCCATGACTTTGGTTATTTCCAAATTCGGGTTTCTCGACAAGAAACTCCAGAAAGACCGTTTCTGGGAGAAATGGCAGAAACGACGATTTTAGGATTTATGGCGTTTCTGTCAGTAAGGGCATTTTGGGGTTATAAACAGTAATGTCAGTATAGGTATTTTTATAGATAAAATGATTATTTTAAATAAAGGCCTTCTAGCCCTTGGGAAAGATAACTCTCGCCTTTGCTTTTATTAAAAATCATATAATCATACGAGTATCAAAAATAAAACATACAAGTCTATCCATAAATAATACATAAACCTTATACATAATAAACTCATACATTCACTGAGTTATTACTAACTTAGTAATTCCCGCTCTACCGATAATCGTAAAACACCCAAACCACTTATTATATAAACTACGTTCGTTCATTCACCGCTCGCTAAATCTAACACGCCTTTTCGAACCAACTTAACCGAACCTTTAACTCGCCGATTTTAGACCTGTCAACATCCTTGAACCATTAAGCCCTGCTTTTATTTAATTTAATACAATAATTATGAATCGCCTCATAGCTTGGTTGATACTTTTCATTGTTTATGTTACATTGAGTTCTGCTCGTAAGTGTCATTTTTTAAATACTATTTGATAAATGAAAATTTTCCAAAAGAATAAAGCTAATTGTATATCGCAAAGAATATCTTTCATCAAAAGTTTATACATTATTTTTATTGATTGTCAGGGGGCATGAAAACCGAGTCTAGGATCGATTTTTACGAAACATTGTTTTTCTGTATAAACTAACAGATATTTTAAACTTTCAGAAATTGTTGATGTGTTAAACACTCCGATAAGCCCTGTTAATAAAGGTGCAAAAGTCGCAGTTAGTTGAACCTTAGTAGCTGGTGCAGATGCCAGTAATAAAAACGGTAAGTTATCAGCAACAAATACATCTGATAAAAGAATTACTATGACAATAGACTCGAATGTACCTCTTGCCCGTAAGTATTGTGATCTACTTTTGTAGGAAGTTTGTGATTTCGTAAACTAATTATAAATTTTTAAAATTTAGCTAAGTCATATTTATGGACCGTGAATATTCCAGCTGGTAAATATACTTTGGGATTGGATGATGGGTCGAGACTCCAACAAAGTGGAGAAATCACCGTTAATACTCCTCAAGGGATGGCAAAGTCTTGAATCCGGGACTCTAGGACCTGGGTTTGGGCCTAGTCTTTAAAGACGAGTTCCAATTTTAGAACCTAGGTTCATAGGTCTGCAATAAGTCCCAATATAACATCTTTTAGAATTTGTATGTGATACATTATATACGTGCAATCTAATCTAAGTTATTGACAATATATTGCTGTATTGTAGATTATGATCCTTAGACATGCTTTACTTAACATGCTATCCTATCAGTTGCATGAATTTATTATTTTACTGATATTCTGTTTTTTTATTTCTCCTGAAATCATTATAAGATTTCGAGATCAAACTAATCAATAAAAAAATCATAATTTATAATGCGAATGCCACTAACACAGGAAAAACATGACCTAATTTTGTTATATCTAACATTAACTAACTCTAATGCTAGTATGCTGTGGTGACAATATTATTTAGTATAATAACAATTTCCTTTAGAATAATAGTGGATATTATATGATAAACATGTTTTTTTAACCAATCAGCATTCATAATATATTAGCAAAGGTGAATTTTAGGGTGTTCTCAAACATCTTAATCAATCTGTCGGAACGGGTCTGAGGGTAAATTTTATTAGTAAAAAATAGTTTAACGAATCGATTGCATTGATTATTCAAATGAATAAACACATGAGGAAAGTTTAATACGTCAAAAAGAAAAATTTTATTAGCTGAAGTTCGTTTAACCGATCAAGGGTATTTATCATTCCAATCTACAAGATATAGAGGCCAAAACATCTTTTTTTTCTCATAGAGTTGTACTTATTAGTTGAAATTTTTCATTGATTGATTAGAAAAATAATTGTTCAAATACTTCACTTTTTACATTATCATTAATCGTTATGGATTGTTACCAACGTCGACGAATTATTTATTACCTTATTAATTATGCTAAAAATCTTCGCTGCAAATAGAAAAGACACGTTGTTGGTTTGCTGTAAATTCTGAAAAAGAAGAAACAGAATTGGAAATGTTGTAGATTGCTTTATCCTTTCGTTGATCTATTGTTTCATTATATATTTATTTATTTATTTATTTATTTCGATTTGTAAAAACAATAATCGCTATAATAAATGATAATAATGATAAAGATGTTTGCTCAAGCATCAATTACAATCAATATTTTGATTAATTGTAATACTTAGCACCAACACAATCATAAATTAATCATATTGAGAAAGATACGTGAGCACTATATTATCATCCATACTATCGGTTCTCAAAATTGGTCTAATTAATAACCTCATAATGGTAAAGAACTATCTCAATCACTAGCTAGCTAATCACATCGAGCGTGCTGCTTGAGAACACCCTTAATTGGCTATAAGGTATCAGCGACTGAGTCCAAGGATTTAGTCCTGGGCAAACCTTGGTCAGACCTAAGTTATGGGGCTTGTTATGTGAGAACCTGGTCCAAAGTTCCATGTGGTAGGACTTACAAGTCTTAGGACCAAGACCAGACCTGGACTGACTTTACCATCACTATGCTCCTCCCTTAGGATAATTATGATACTCGACAAATCTGTTGTATATTACCATTCATAGAAGATAATTATCAAAAATTCCTAATAATGAAATTTTTTTATAACATTTATATGACTAATTAATCAGACAAAATCAATTTATCTAGGTTATCTAATTATAAAGAATTAATATTATCAGAATATCCTTTAAATCCAGCATTATTGTTCTTTATTCATGCAATTTGGGTCAATATGATATTTTATATGTGTGTACATGCATACAAACTATATAATACTTTTTATACCAGGAATGTAATGGAACAAAGTGTATAGTTTGGTGTTTCGGCCTAAACTCTTTTCAAGGGTCGAAATGTTTGGTTTTTGAGTTTCCAAAATTTGACGGGACACTTGATTATCACATCACGTGAATTATGCATTACAGCAATAACGTCATTTGTTTACTGGCACAAATTGACAAATTGGCCTAAATTATACTATCACCTAACCCTAATACCAATCCCAAACTTAGGCCAAGTGTTTAATCATGTGATGTGATTGTCACAAAGATATCACTGGTTCCTTGTTCCCTTTAAAAATTATGACATTCGATTATAAAATGAAGTATTAAGAATCTGGATGATAATGTTGGTGATGAACAACGAGAACAAGCAGTCGAACAAGTTTCGAGGTTTAAAAAATTTTGACAAATGATATTAATAAATATTAATAAATATTAAAAAATGATTACAATTCATGTATTTGGAAAGTTCACAACTGTTTTAGAATTACGATAAAGAATC